ATGCGTCGGCTGTCTCTTCATCACTAACTTAACTTATTAAATTATCCACGTTTGGATGTAGGAACACATCCTTCATACAGCGGCCTTCATACAGCGGAAGTCCCTAAACCAGGATCCAACGTCTGGTTCAACAAATCGTGCGTCACCGCTCGTCGGCACACATAACCTTCTTATAACACCGCACTGTAAAGATAGACAAGCCGACTTCGAGTCCACAAACAGGGACGAAGCGGTTTACAATGCTGAAGACACGCAGGATACAAAAATTAGGCGCAACACAACGAGTAGCCTTCCACCACTTACGTGCCTGGAAAGAACGATTGTAACCGATGCAACTGGCTCCCTACACCCCGGGAAATAATCTTCAAGCATAAAACCGTAAGCCGGGTGCTCTTGACGCTCGGCATCACCAAAGCTTCGGTTTCGGATTTGATTCCTGCAGTTTCATTGAAGAGATGTGCAGCCGAGCTTGCTCCAGTTCGTTCGCGCCTCTTGCAGATATGGCACTTTTACAGAAGACAGGAAATTTGCTCTTGTCCAGCCCATCAAAAAAAAAAGAGTGTAAGTCCGACCGACCCTTTCTACTGCAGGCCTATTGTAGCTCTGCTTTCTGTTTTAAGGTATTGGCGAGGTGCTTAAATCGAGAGTTTCTGGTGTACCTTGACTAATCAGCATGATTTTAGGAACCACCGAATACCATCGCCGGATTCTATGGCCAGTGAAGACCCGCTAGACTGGTAATTCTGGTCGGTCTGGTTCAACAAATCGTGCGTCACCGCTCGTCGGCACACATAACCTTCTTATAACACCGCACTGTAAAGATAGACAAGCCGACTTCGAGTCCACAAAACAGGGACGAAGCGGTTTACAATGCTGAAGACACGCAGGATACAAAAATTAGGCGCAACACAACGAGTAGCCTTCCACCACTTACGTGCCTGGAAAGAACGATTGTAACCGATGCAACTGGCTCCTACACCCCGGGAAATAATCTTCAAGCATAAACCGTAAGCCGGGTGCTCTTGACGCTCGGCATCACCAAAGCTTCGGTTTCGGATTTGATTCCTGCAGTTTCATTGACGAGATGTGCAGCCGAGCTTGCTCCAGTTCGTTCGCGCCTCTTGCAGATATGGCACTTTTACAGAAGACAGGAAATTTGCTCTTGTCCAGCCCATCAAAAAAAAAAGAGTGTAAGTCCGACCCTTTCTACTGCAGGCCTATTGTAGCTCTGCTTTCTGTTTTAAGGTATTGGCGAGGTGCTTAAATCGAGAGTTTCTGGTGTACCTTGACTAATCAGCATGATTTAGGAACCACCGAATACCATCGCGGGATTCTATGGCCAGTGAAGACCCGCTAGACTGGTAATTCCTGTTGGGAGCTCAGATATTCCGTAGAAAGGGCATTTCCGCAAACTATAATTTTCGCGAGAATCTGACATTTGTGGCAACTTTGTCATTGAAAGCTGTACCTATCGAGGGCTAATCACAATACAGGGTGTGAATTAGAGACTTATATATCAAGAAGAAATCAATGACCAGAAGTAAGAAAAAAACAAAAAATAAAACCCTGAACGATAATCAAAGTGACAGTGAAGATGAAGTATTGAAATAACGTGTAACATCCATAATGAAATCAACTTGATAGACCAAATTAAAACTCAAAATAAGGAACTAAAAAGAATAATTGAACAAAACAATGTTTTACTGTTGGAAAAAGAAAAATACATATTACAATTAGAAAAAGAAAACAAAAGACTACAAGAAGATTACGAAAACAAAGGGCTAATATAATGCATTATATCGAAAATATGGAAGATAGAATTAAATCTGTTGAATCGAATGGCATAAACTACCGATCATATAGCCAAGTAACAGCCAGAACTAAGACATACAACAAACCCCTAAAAACACTATGCGTGAATCCTACTAACGAACAAACAATACTTGAAACAAAAAGATTTAAATAAAATTGACCTATCGAAATTGAAAGTACAAGTAGACAACATTAAACACACTAAAAAAGGAGGAATCCAATTGAAACTAGAAGAAAAAAACCTCACTACACTGAAAAATGAAATCGAAAAATAGTTATCAAGAAAA